GTTGGTGGTAGAGTAGACCGATGATCTATTAAAAAGTCTAAACTTATAATAAGTAACGTCAGAGTAATGGCATCACTAACCACACATAAAAGACACACTTTGTGTTCGGACTCATATCTAATTCTTAGGAAATGAAGCCCTAGATGCTTCATTCATTAATTCCGAGTTATTATATTATAAGCATTAAGTGCATGTAGTTACATGCACTTAATGTGATACCACGCGCCATCTTCTCTTTTTTTAGCCCAAAATCTGATTTTTTTAAAAAAGTGAAACACACGCACAACTCTTCCTTAATTTAAGGAAATGAGTTTTAAAATTCTCTTTAATATTCAAATGATTTTATTTCATAATCCGTAAAGAATTAGACTAAGTATCTTATATCATTTTGATAGTACTCGATGAGATCTATCTAACAAGATCCTTCATAAATATGCTTTTTGAAACATAAAAAAAAAAAATTTATTAAATAACTTTGGTCTTCCTAAAAGGCACTTTGGTCGTACTTGTTGCTCCTATGTGTATTGTGCAAACAGTTTGGTCTTTTTACTTGTTGCTGCAGGTCTTGACTTTTATGTATTTCCCTTGGTCTTCTTGAAACCAGAGTGAAGTGCGAGCGTGTGTGAGTAGAAAAGACCAAGGACCAAAGGCCAAAGGCTAAAGACCAAAAACCAAAGACCAAATACCAAAGACTTTGAGACCATAGTGAAGAGTGAGAATGTGTGAGGAGTAACGATCAAAGACCAAAGGCCAATGATTAGAAAGCAAAGACCAAAGATGGAAGACCAAAGGCCAAAGACAAAAAATGAAAGACCAAAAACCAAAGATCAAAGACCAAAGGCCCAAGACCAAGAACCAAAGACCAAAGATCAAAGATAAAAATACCAAAGACCAAAGACTAAAGACCATAGTGAAAATCGAGCGTGTGTGATCAGCAAAGACCAAAGACCAAAAAATCAAAGACGAAAGACCAAAGACCAGAATGAAGAGCGAGCGTGTGAAAGGAGCAAAGACCAAATATCAAAGGCCAAACACTGAAGACCAAAGGCCAAAGACAAAAAAACTGAAGAATAAAGACCAAACGCCAAAGACCAAAGACCAGAGTGAAGAGCGACAGTGTGTGAGGAGCGGCAATGTGTGAGGAGCGGCGGATACTTCGCGGTAGATGCTCAAGTAGCTTTCGGCTCGCGTGTTTTTCGGCCGCCTGAACAGCCCTTCGAATATAAATTAGAAACCCTTTTTTGGGAGAGATATCGGAGCTAGCGTGTGTGAGGAGCTGGTGTGTTGGAGGAGCAACAGATACTTCACGGCAAATGCTGATGTAGCCTTCAGTTACGTGCTTTTCAGCCGCCTGCGCGGCCCTTCGAATATAAATTAGAAACTATTTTTGCGTGAGATATTGGAGCCAACGTGTGTGAGGAGCGGCGGATACTTCACGGTAGATGCTCACGTAGCCTTTAGCTAGCGTGCTTTTCGGCCGCCTGCGCGGCCGTTCGAATATAAATTGTAAACCTGTTTTCAAGAGAGATATCGGAGCAGTCGTTTGTGAGGAGCAGGCATGTGTGGAAGCAGCGGATACTTCGCGAAAGATGCTCACGTTGCCTTTGGCTAGCGTGCTTTTCGGCCGCCTGCGGAGCCCTTCAAATATAAATTGGAAACCTTTTTTCGGGGGAGATATCAGAGCGGGCGTGTGTGAGGAGCGGGCGTATATGAGGAGCGGCGAATACTTCACGGCTGATGTTCACGTAGCCTTCAGCTAGCGTGCTTTTCGGCCGCCTACGTGGCCCTTCAAATATAAATTGGAAATCTTTTTCCGAAAGTGACATCGGAGCGGGCGTGTGTGAGGAGCGGCAGTGTGTGAGGAGCAGCGGATACTTTGCGGCAGATGCTCAAGTAGCCTTTGGCTAGCGTGTTTGTTGGACGCCTGCGCAGCCCTTCAAATATAAATTGGAAACCTTTTTTTCGGGAGAGATATCAGAGCGAGCGTGTATGAGGAGCTGGTGTATGGGAGGAGCGGCGGATACGTCGCAAGAGATGCTCACGTAGACTTTGGCTAGCGTACTTTTCGGCCGCGTGCGTTACCATTCGAATATAAGTTGGAAATCTTTTTTTGGGAGAGATATCAGAGCGGGCGTGCGTGATGAACGGCGGATACTTCACAGCAGATGCTCACGCAGCATTCAGATAGCGTGTTTTTCGGCCGTCTGCGCGGCCATTCGAATATAAATTAGAAAATTTTTTCGGGGAATATATCGGAGTGGGAGTGTGTGAGAAGCAGCGGATATTTCGCGATAGATGTTCACGTAACCTTCGGCTAGTGTGATTTTCGGCCGCCTGCGCGGCCCTTCGAATATAAATTAAAATTTTTTTTCTGGAGAGATATCGGAGTGGGTGTGTGTAAAGAGCGAGCATGTGCAAGGAGCTGTACATGTTCATGTAGCGTTCGAATATAAATTGGAAACTTTTTTTTTGGGAATATATCAGAGCGGGCGTGTGTGAAAAGCGGCGGATATTTCGCGGTAGATGTTCACGTAGCCTTCGGCTAATGTGTTTTTCGGCTGCCTGCGCGGCCCTTCGAATATAAATTAAAATTTTTTTTTTGGAGAGATATCGGAGCGGGCGTTTGTGAAGAGCGAGCATGTGCAAGGAGCGGTAGATGCTCACGTAGCCTGCGGCTAGCGAGTTTTTCGGTCGCTTGCATGGCCTTTCGTATATAAATTCAAAACCTTTTTTCGGGAGAGATATCGAAGCGGTGGTGTGTGAGGAACGAGTGTGTGTGAGGAGCGGGTTTGTGTGAGGAGCTGCAGATGTTCACGTAACCTGCGGCTAGCGAGATTTTCAGCCGTCTACACGACACTCCATTCATATATTGGATCGTTTTTCGGGGGATATATCCGAGCGAACCTGTGTGAGGAATTATATGTAGTTGCATTGCTCTTCCTGAAAGACAATCGGATCTTACTTCTTAGTATTAGTGATCTTAGTTCCACTATATAGTTAGTTTTATGGTTTTATTATAAAATTTCAAAGGTCATGCAACAATAATTTATTTTATTATGTTACCATATATAATTTTAAAATTCATGTATTGTAATTCATTTTATTGTCTTGTTATATAATTTTAAATGTCCGTGTTATATATTTTATATGGTTTTATTAGATAATTTAAAATTATATTAACTAAGAAATTGGAACTACAATGAAAAAAAAATTCAAAAAAAATATTTATATTCTCTCATTTTATAATTTAAAATTATATTAAGTAAGAAATTAAAATAACAGTGAAAATAAATAAATTACAAAAAAAAATAAATGAAGTTTTTCATTGTTAAATAATCCAAATAGAGGTTAATTATATATTTAGATAAATGCACAATATCAGAATTATTAAAAAAATCACTAAACCAAAAAAAAATGAAAAAGTCTCATTAAAAAAATCAGTAAAAAAAAAAAAGAAAAATCCAAACCCCCAAAAAAAAAAAATCCCCCCTAAAAAAACCCTAAAATCCCTCCTAAACCAGAAAGGAAAAAAAATAACAAAAAGAAAAAAAGCGCAATAAAGCGCGTAGGATTGACCCACGCCCTGCACAGTGCGTAAACTGCACGCGCTATTAAGTGCTAGAGCAAAAATTTCCGATCAATTCCCCACTTAATTGTTTCGACCAATTTTTGGTGGATATAGAATTTTCAGGGATTCTTTGGTTTTACTTCATTTTTGTTTAGTTTTATCGATTATTTTTGTATCATGCAAGTAACAAATGTTATTTAGATGTGATAGACTATCCGCATCATAACATTAATTGTTCAATGAAATCAGATTGTCGAATATTTTAAATTGAGAAAACTTTCGAATCACAATGCCATGCCCATAGATCAGGTTTTAGTGGTAGAGTTCAGGATCACTTTGGGGCGGGGTGCAATATATTCAATAAGACGACGAAACCCTTGAAGGAGATGAAGAGGAAGATTATGCTTCTAATGACGATATTAAGGAAGAAAAATAAGGAGAAAATAGGCAATGATTTAGATGATGATGATGACAATAATGAACGACACCAAATAAAATGATGATGATGATGCAGATGATAAGGCTGTCTGCTGGGCAACAACAATGTCCAAGATGATAGCTCACGTCAAAACTTCTCCGTGATGATTCTGCAACAATTTGAATTTTGATGTTGATCCATAATTCATTGGAAGAAATGGGGAAGATATGGGGAAGTTATGTACAAGACTAATGATTTAGATTAAAGATGTGTTAGCAAAATTTGTACTTCACTCGTGCAGTTGATGATACCGGGAAGGAGGGAGGAAAGCTAGGATTTCCATCTAATTGAAAATATGGGGAGAACACATCCTAGCAGGCAAAAAATGATCGGGAGAACACTTTAGATTATATTAAAATCAGCTAGGATTTCAATTAGACTAATGATTTAGATTAGATGTGTTGGCAAAACTTGTACTTCATTCGTGCAGTTGACGTTTTAGCAGGCAAAAATGATCAGGAGAACACTTTGTCCCTGATCTGAACACTATTACCATCAGATGAAAGCTTGGATTCAGCTAGGATTTTTGCCTGCTAAAACGTCAAGTAGAAAAAATTGCAGCAGAGAACTCACTTTGCAAGTAAAGCTAAGAATTTGAATATCGTTCTCATCAGAATCCCTCTGAGGCTCTGTTTATTAAAATTTGTTGAAATGATTCAAAAGAATAATCTCTGAGAATTTGTATGCTGTAGAAGAACAGGTTTATTTTGGAATTCTGTAAACACTTTTCAGATATTTTCATCATTCCCTAAAGTCTCCTAAATCAAGCCCCAAAACAAGGATAAAACAGCTTAAGGAAAACCCAGCTGACATCCATCTTTTTTAGCAACACATGTTGATTTTGTCCACTATGCTAGATGATAGAAAGTGAAATCACAATGACTAGAAACAAAACTACACTATGATTATCCCCAGAGTGGAAGCGATTCGTAATGCAATCCCCAACTTATAAAACCCACAAGTTTGTAATGCAATGCTACCACGATTTCTTTGTTTCATTTGCATAACATTACAGCCAAAAAAGATATTCAAAGAAAGTACAATATTAAAAACACATTAAGTTCTGTCAGTTCAGTTCACGAAAACAAAACTACAATGACCTCTGCCAACACAAACAACCGTCACTAAACATGTGAAGGGGAAATGTGACCTAATTGTCAGCCCTAATTTGCAGAACCTGAGTTTCAAGATATCTTATTTGGAAAAGATTCATTATTATAAGCTTGAAGATAACTATATCACAGACAGTAACAGGTTCTTCCAGAGATATGCAGAACCTAGATGAAAACCAAAATCTTTGAAGACATCACACATGTCCTGACAAACATAAGCTTTCCCCCCCAAAGCATCTATCTTTTTGCCATAAACAGCCAGATTTTCAACAAGACCTAGTCTTTCTCAATCACTGAATCTCAGGCCACTCAGCTTCGAAGTCGCCGCATACATAAAAGAATTCATAATGGGATGCTTTATTGGGACTTATACATTATGATCACGCTAGTCAACAGGAGGCAACATTAATTAACACAAAGCGCTAAAAACTTGGTGCTTTCTTTAAACATATGGCAATGGCCTTATAAACAGAAAATGTCAACAGCACCTTGTACAACTCGGGACACCGGTCACAATATATTCCCCAAGTTTGAACTATAATGCAGCAGAGTCTGCACCTTTCCAGAAAGAAAAGGGAAGGGAACCTCTTTAACTGACTTGATTTTCTTCTTAAAGAACCTGCATATTGAAAGAAAAAAAAGAAGATTAGAACATGTGATAGAACACAAGCACAGATGTGATCCACGTAACTGAACCACATAGTGGGATAAAGACTTAGTTACAGTTTCTACTAAATAATAATGTTCATGTTCTTAAGAAGAGGAATTTACTATAATCACAAATTGATGTTAAAAGTTATCAAAACACAAGACATTGGGTGATTCCTACCCCGTAAAATAGAGGGGAAAGGAAAAACAACCAATTTTAAGGAATGGGAGAAGCAAACTTGTATAAAGCCCGGAACAATACTGATAAGATCTAAGTTTTCAGAATCAAAGCTGAATGAACAAAAAGAAAGAAATCACTTCTATTTTTTTTTTTTTTTCAACCTGTTATTAATTGAAGATGACTTGCATTGCTTCTTCACCAAGTATTTGTTTCCAAGCATTTTTTTTATAAGGAGGTTACTTTTTGTTAACATTCAAAAAAAATCAAAAATTAATTGAAATTCCCTCTTCCACGGTGCAAGAAAGTTTCGCCTCGAAAAAATCTTACCGTTGTCTCTTGGAAAAAAATTCACCCTAAAATCTCATACTTTTCTAAAGATAAATGTCCCTGCTTTTGTGTATACTCATAATAACAGGATGTCCATCTTCGGCAAAAGTGACCTATCCCTTTATAACAATAATCATCATTGTGTACAATTGGTTACGGTACAATCAAAGCGTAGAAGAAAGTCTCTGTTTACAGCCAAAACTAATACTTAGAGATATACTTCACTCTGTTGGGTTTACAAGCAGATTGATTAATTAAACTCATGACAATCTCCAAATTTCGTTCTTCTGTGTTATTCATGACTACCAAAATCCCATTCTCCTTTCCTTTCGCTGATAAATGCTATCGGTAGTTCTGACATTCATATACATACATATATATATGCCGACTCAAAATCTATTTAAGGAAAAGAACATTTAAACTCATGTTAGGTATGGTTTTAGTTCAAAAACAGAAAAGTTGGGTCACCATCATGTTTGAAGCACATTTAAATCATTCTTTCCCCGAAGATAGGTAGATGGAAGAAGTTAGGAAACAATGACCATGCTTAAAAACAAACAAAACATACTCATGATAACCAAAACCTATTTTAAACTGCTCCAAGGTCCTTCTAAACTTGCCAAAAAACTCAACAGTTGTTGCACAAGGACCAAAAGAGACATCCAACATTAACATTTTCAGAATGAAAGGTTAGAACTACCAAACCACCAGCAAAATAAACTAATTTACCTGAAAAGCTAATATCATCCCAGACAATTAACCAAAGTAAAGCCACTGTAAATTTCTGATCTGATAAACCTTATAAGCAAATAATTCTAGACAACAACATCACGGGCATGCTTATCATACTCCTACAGGAGATAAACATACAGGAAGAAATGCATACTTCACCTCACAAATTCTGTGAAAAATGAAAACCTCAAGTGAAGGTGTTGCTCATAAACTGTGAGTTCCATACGCCTCAATATCTGTCCGCAACTGCAAATTTCATGAATACAAAACTAACTTCAACTACAAATAGAGTAATGCATATAGTGATTCTTTAAGAAAACTTCGTTTGTGTACCAACAAGGGGACAGCAGATATACGAAGTAATTGAGTACCTTGTCAACAACAGCTGCAACACCTGAGATGTCTTGCCTCTGTTTCCTTAGGAGATCAAGACGGGTACTCATTATATGTTTTTGTTCTTCCGCCTGTAAAGATCATGACTAATGCAGTAAGAAGACTATCGTCATTGACTACTGTCCCAAAAATGTACAACCAGCAAATACCCCAACAACTAAAGATAATCAGCAAATCACCCCCATATATATCAGAATCTACATTTTGCATGCTTAATCGGGTCTTCCTCTTGGTGCAAATATCGTCATTCAAATAAAAAACTATTTAAAATGGTTGCAATGCTTCATTCTCCTTGAGATTCAGATGCATTAATTTTTGAAACAGAAAACTCAACCAACAGCTCTTAAAATTCTGCCCCTGTAAAAACTACCGATCATTTCAAATTGAGGTAGAGTTACAACAGAAATAGGTTAATACTTAATATGTAGAACAGAGAAAAGACTCCGCTCATTTTTTAAGGCCACTATGCCAATGCAAGCCTGACCAAAGATGATAGACAAAGTTAAGTTTCCTGAACATCATGTGAAGCATTAGCAAAAAAAAAAAAAAGACACGGGGATAATCAGGCACAATCCCATAAAAGGTAAGGGAACTCCAGCTCCTATCAAGGTCATGATCGATATCGTCCCTAGCATCAATATCGTCACTATCATCCATAAGAAAACCCTTAGGCTTGTTACCCAGGAACTTGTTGAGAAATATACCGTAATGAAAGTAACATAGGAGGTTGTCACTAGGTGTTTGACCAAATAGAATTGTCCACTTCCTATAGAACCGACCACTAAAATACCCCTAGAGGGGTTGGCTAAGCGGAGCGAAAATGATTTTCCATGAGATGGGAAACGAAAACTTTTAGCCCCACACGAAGTTTGTGAATAAGAGATTGTCTGATAATGAACAACGAAGATCCGTCTTTCTGCTAAACAGGATGTATTGAACTCATAATTCATTAGATACTTTTTATGAATGTCAACTAAGTGTCGTAAGTAAATTGCTCCTGGTTGTTCAATCATTTGAACTCATACTTCGCTTATAGCTGTCTCTAGCCAAGTCTGTTCAGGTTACTACAAATTAACAAAGGACACGGAATAGATATCATATAAAATTAGAATACAAACACTGGCGTCTACTGTTTGAGCTTAAAATGTCTTTCTATTCTAAATTTTTCTTAATTTTTCAATTCTTACACTGAACCAAAAACTGACAAAGGATAGTGTGATTTACTTCAAAAAATTTCAGTTAAATGCAGAGATAACCAAGTATTATTTGCAGCTTTGTAAGTTACAGTTTCCAGTTTTAAAAATGCATAAATCTATCTCTATTGGGTCATAACCATATCTTAAAGTAAATCATTAGAAACTGGAAGCTAAGGAATAAGATTATAAAGTGGACAAGTAGAGTGCTTTCTGGTTGTTCAATGTAATACATACATAATAATTCTTTTCAAGGATAGTTAAAGTCCGCACGAAAACCAGCTTTGGTACTAAGGTAGACTATTTCTTTTAGTTTATGATTCTCACCAAATCTTACAGCAATTCCAAGGCAAAAAACAATTTTGAGCAATCCAGGATTGATTTATTTACATGCATTGTAGGCAATGCATCTGAACTGCGACTATGATTAACCAAAAGGTGCTACTATTCCTCCACATCTCTAACTTTCCAAAAGCATGACTATTATATTCTTTAAATAAAAATTCAGAATGATATAAAACCAACAATATTTTTGTACCACGTTATGTCTTCCTATCCCATTGAATGTAGAATTTCGAATTTCCTTAGATAAGAGTTTGGGCTGTATATAAAGAAAACACTGGAGAGTGGTGACTATATGGAGTCATTGATTTCCATGAAATCGTGGATATTGTAATGCCAAAAAAGTAAATCAATGATAAAAGAACAATGGCAACTTGAAATATTAGCAAAAATGTCTACTGTGTTTGCTCACCTTTTGCAAAATGCTTGTCAAGTACACCATCTCATCCATCTTTGCATCATATATAGTTTTCACAATTGATCCAATGTTACTCCTGCAGTAAGCAATTTAACTGTAATTACATTGCAAATCTTGTGAGACAGAATATAACTATGTTAGCTTCGTATGTGTCCATCGAGAGGCTTGGAGTTTCAACTCAACTTCTATTTCTGCATTCCAAACGAGTCGATCACGCATTGTCCAGTGTTCTTTTTCACAACAAAAGGATAACTTAGTCTACAGCATAACACACAACTTTGAGATGGTACGAACTCATATGTCATGGCTGCTGTATTCAGCGCGAATCCTTAGATGTACACAAAAACTTAGGACAATATCTCCTGATATGCAAATTCATTGCATGAATTCCTCAATATTGGCATTTATTACAACTTAAGACAGCTTATTCAAGTGAAATAATTTAGTTTCAATATCATAGTATATATAGCACTAAACCTTTGAAAAGCCTTACGGGTGGATTTGTCAACCCACTCAGCCAAGGAATTCTGGAACTTGGTTTTGGACACAATTGCACTGTAATCTTCACATCAGCTAAGAATGCTAAATTTGCTTGATAGAAATCCAATATCCATCTTGATTTGAAACATTAAGGAGAGAAAGAAACTATCAAACATTTGGGTTGACCATATCTCAGAAGACTGACGAGGGATTTAGTTTACCAAACTTTTTGGTCAATCTTCCACAAAGACACAGAGTGGTTAATGACAATGGGAGTCAAGGAGGCAGATCACTGATAAGTTTGTTTGTAGTGATGCAAGAAGGGAAGAAAAGTTTAAAGAAGAAAACAATATCCTAGCTGCCAAGATCAATAGACAGTAATTTCATTAAAAGAAACATACCTAGTATAGTCCCAACCAAGTTGAATATAAATCAAACCATAACTCAAAGTCTGCAGAACCTCTCTATATACAAAACTTTTAGTTTTTGAAATTCATACAATTCTGAAACTGACTTTTTGCAGACAAAACAAGAGAACAGTCATCTTAATGAATCACAGAAAGTCCAACCTCAAAAGGATCCTGACCAATTAAGGCCATTTCTCAGCCCAATATGAGCACTTTACTAATCCTGATATGGTTCCAGCATAATATAGAAACTCTATGTTGTAGATACAGCATGATAAAGCTGAACAGAGATGTTCTACTTGCTAGGAAAATGTGTTCTGTGAAACTTGCATGGTATCATATTCGTATATCTTACATTAAATGTCGAAACAAATAATGTGCAGGCAACAGAAATCTGATGGGAATTCTTTCCAAAGTGGGCAGTACCACATAAGTACAAGTAAATTGAACTAAAAATTATAGCTCATTCATATGACATATAAATAACACAATCAAGTGACCGTAATTTGCTGAAGGAAAAACTTACTTCTCGGCGGACAGTGGGTCCAAATTTTGTTCTTCCACATGCTGTTCTACAAGATCAAGAACATTTCCTACCTGCAAACAGTTTGAATTTTAGATGAACCATGTATTACCCATCACGACATAAGATGATGGACAGAAGTTCAGCACAAAAGGATTATGAGCGAACATTCGTACTCTTTATAACATCAAAAAGTGCACATTCAAAACTCCGAATTACATAATTCCTTTTCGTTGAAAGCTCAAAAGTAGTTCGTCAACACAACAACAAATCAGTTTGTAAAAGCGACTCATACGAAACAAACACAGTACAAAACCTTGAAATGATCTTTGACACCATGAACTATCATAACGATTCAAAGCCACAGTTTGAAGCATACATATAAAAGAGACGAAACCAAATTTGAAAATACTTCCAAAAAGATTCAAAATCGAAGCTAACACATACCTGTGTCTCCATGCACAGTGATTCAAAAGCATCCTACAAAATTGAGAGCACAGAATAGCATACAAGCGCAAACCTCCACTTAAACCCAAAGATAATTTAGGGTCATGGAACATACCTCTATACTTTCATGCAAAGAAGTAATCACCTAAAAGTCCAAAAAAAACAAAAATAAACAAAACAAAAAAAAAAACAAAAAAAAGAAAAAGGGTCAGAGACGAAACATTTAAAGTTTTTAGTTCAAACAAATTTAGCAGCATTTCGATTGGAGAGCAATTAGTTACAAATTCCTGCAAGACACAACTAAACCATCCTCTGAAGAAAAGCTATATAAACCATATAAGAAGAGTACCTCAATGAATAGGCGATGGAGGCGTTCTTGCTCGGCAACAGTGAAATGTGGAAACGCTTTGCAGAAATCCTAAATCAAATCCAAATTGCACACAGAAAGCTCTGAGTAACTGAATTGGACTATTCCAAATCATGAGGCAATAGAAATTTGGATTGAATTCGATTTTAAAGAAAACGGAAATGAAGATTTTACCTCCTTAGTGGAAGCCGTTAAGAGAGAGCGTATCCCAAGGGCGAAGGATTTCTTCAGATTCAGTTGTCTTGAGCCAGAAGGAGGAGCGCTGGTTAATTGTTTCGTTTCTTCCATTTTTCGACCTTTTTGCTCGCCGGCGGCAGGGCTACTGCCGTTGAAGTGTTTCGAAGGCAAAATTAGGACGCGGGAAAAGCTATTTATTCTCTTTCTTTGTCAGATCGATAAAATTTTATTTCATTTTTTTGGCAAACAAACCAGTTTCATTATTTTTTTTTTTAAAAAAAAAGAAACAAGTTCATTTGTTTCAACTTCAAAAAAATTGTACGAAGATTATACTGTAATAACTCTGTATGTGTACTTAAATGCCTTTTTTAATTAATCCATCCTCTCTGTTTCATTTCATGTGTAGTTTTAGAGGGAGAAAAAAAAAATATTCCAAGAAAACATCGTTTATCAGTGCAGTTTGTACGACCAACCTTCCATTTTGCATGTTTTCTCATTTTACCTCTTAAACACAAAACCCAATGAAAAAGAAATATCATCCGAACAACGGTCTGATTTACATTTTAAATTCCAACTTGAAACATTTTTTGTTAGTGTAATGACCATTTTAGAACTACAAATAGTTCAATGACAAATTTGGCAGGATTCCGTTGTTAAATGATTTTTTTTGGAAAAGTTCTTTTTGTTGTGACTATAATTGACAGTATTTAATTGTTTAGTGATGACTCGTACTTGATATTTTCAAAATATGGTTCAAAAAAATTTTTTCAAAACCAATATCCAAACAACTTTTTGCTCAAAATACCCTCCAAACAACATTTTCATTTCCCATTTAGTTTTCAATTCGAAACACTTTTCACTTTTAAGTGGCAAAACGAAATGTAAGCTGACGGCCTAACAATATCTTAATTTTAATGGGATAGACTGAAATAATTTAGTAATTTAAATACCTTCAGTGTTCCTTATACATGAAAATTTTGTCTAATGACACTTATTTTACAATGAAAATTCACTTTTGGAGATTATGAGATAAGTTTGCAATGACTAGAGCATACTATCTCAGCTATAATCTGATGAATTAGACAAAAGATGACAGGAGAAATGAATTATCATAATGCCATATCCAAATGGAAACTAAAGGGTCATAATGTGGATCGCTAACATTCATCGGTAGCTGATCAACTGTCCTGAATCAGGTCCTGCCAAGCTTGCCTATGAATACGTAACAAGTTGAATTGCATAATGCATCAAGTTGAAAGTGATGCCAAAATTTTCCAACACCTCAAATGTTTAAGAAGGTTTATTGATTGTTCTGAAACTTTTTTGGAGTTGGTGATTGATTGTTGATTTAGAAAGTACAGCTTGGCTGTTGAAATTTAGATACATATGAAGTACACGAATATCTATTAATTCTTTCATGGTGATGTTTTGTCTCAAAATAATTTTCCAATTTTTGTCAGGTTTATTTTCAATATACTGTAACACCATTTTTGTGACTAAGACAAAGTGTCTTAAGCTCATGTCCAATGTGGCTGCTGCAGAGTGCAGAACAATGATATACAACCACTTAGCATGATCTCTATTCTGCTTAATTACATACTGAAATCATCATTATTCATGTAGGAGTAAGAGAAAATTAACAATGCTGCAACGATACATATATATACTCTGGCCTATTTCATGCTCAAGTAAGGACAATTACTTGAAATGCTGCTGCTATATAGAATGTTGTTTTAGTTCTTCTAGTAGGATGCTCTTTCTTCTGTAGGAGAAGTTGTGAGGCCATATCCAAACGGGAACAATGGATCATAATGTGGATCGCCGACATTCATCGGCAACTGATCAACTGTCCTGAACCAAGTCCTCGCAAGCTTGCCTGTGAACCCGTAATCGCCAAAGAGAACATCAGCAACACCTTGTCCTTCAGTCCCTGGCAGCCAAGCAGCCACCAGAGCATCCATTTTAGCGAGGTGTGGCTCAATCACCACGGGGCGACCTGATATAATCACCACTATGCATTTCACGGATTCGCAGACCTTTGTGATGGTCCTGATTCCGGATTCTGGTAATGTCAACTTCATGTCATCACCAAATGTTTCACAGTAAGGTGGTTCTCCTACAACCACGATCGCGTAAGAGAAGTCGTTGGACTTCACGAATTCGACTTCAGGGTTTTCATTGTACACAACTTTTGTGTGTGGATCAACAGTATTCTTCACAGCTTCTAAGATTGTGGTACCTGTGAGTGAAATGAATTATTAAGGAGTTCTGACCTGAATTATGCATCTGGAAACTAATTCGTTCCTTAATAATGGGAAATATCTCTCAGGCCTTCTGAATTTTGCGGCAGTCAAAACAGGACAGGCAAACTTACCAGCTGTAATGTTTCCAGGAAGGCCGCGCCATTCAATTGTCCAACCTCCACATTGATTCCCAATATTGTGAGAATGGCTCCCGGCAACGAGTATCTTTGAGGCTCTTTTCGGGAGAGGAAGCAGTGGTTCGCCAATGTTGTTACCATTCTTCAGAAGCACAAGAGATTTCCTGACTGCTTCCCTGGCCAATTCTCTATGCTCCTGTAAAAATTGTTAAAATGGATCAGGAAAAGAAAAAAGGTAATCCTCAAGTCAAAAGGTGTAGAATCAGTAGGCGAATTTCATTTTGGACCTGCTTCCCCAATTCATTGACCAGGCTATTGTCAGCCATCGGGTTCTCAAAAAGGCCCATGGAAAACTTGACCCTTAGTATTCTCCTCACTGCATCATCAATTCGACTCATAGGTACAATGTTCTTTTTCACCAGCATAGTAAGATCATCAATAAACTCAGTGAACTTCTCTGGAAGCATGATCTGCAATCAATCACAGGCAAATCAGCGTTCAATTCATTACATTTTCTAGGATCTATAACAAATGTCGTAATCAACTAAGAATCCTGGATGCACTCAAATCAATCCTTAAAAAAATATTCTGAACAAAATGTTGGAAAATAAGCAGATTAAGCGCTTGTAGTCAATGTGTGACACGGTTTGCTTTTGCTTGTTTACCATGTCTATTCCAGCAAGGATTCCAGCTTGAACTGAATATGTGTAGTTAGCGCGAGATGGAGAGGTGATCCTATCAATACCTTGCCAATCTGATATCACAAAACCCTGTAACAAAAAGAGCATTACACAAACTGTCAAAACCTTTTTGCATTATTCTGAGTACACAAATATTGAGACATTAGAATGTTTGAATCAGGAACATTACTTTGAACTTGAGATGATTTTTGAGGTAACCAGTGATAAGTTTTCGGTTAGCGTGCATTTTCTCTCCATTCCAGCTAGAGTACGAGACCATAATAGTTGCAACTCCCTTCTTAATAGAGTCAACATATGCAGGCATGTGGATACTGAGCATTCCCTTCCAGTCAATAACTGTGTTGTTCTCATTGATTCCGTTAGTTGTGCCCCCATCTCCCACAAAATGCTTAGCACAACCGGCAACTTTTGTCCTTCATTCACACAAGAACAACATATTAGATTGATTCATCTGGGGCTTTTTAAACCTTACCAAATTTAATCTTTGCAATCCTGAAATGAAGGAGCAGATTGCAAAACGATCAGAAATATTACTTAGTATACCCCAAAATTTTCCCGTAACCTCTTATCATTTTAGCTCAGAAAATTGTTGACAAGGTGATACAAGCACTAGAAAGCATATTCACTTAAAACAAAAGGAAGAAAGAAAAGGTTAAATACGTTACATATACCTTCCGCCCACATAAGGTATACCATTTGGAAAGTTAGCTGGGAGATCTCCTTGTAGACCTGGAATCAGTTCAGTCATTGCTTGAACGATCTCATGATCTTCACTGTAGCTTTCGTAGCAGCGACCCCATCTTGGATCCCTACAAACCTGTGAATGCAAACACTAATAAGCAAAAGCTTTGGTCCGAAATTTGGATGAAAAACTGTCAGACTTAGAGGCATACTGCCAACAGTTACCGCAATACAAGGTGCGAACGCGTATTGAATTCCAGTCGCTCTAACTTCAAGAGCAGTTGCTGCTCCAATTCTCTTTACAAGTTCTGGATCCCTGATCAACTCAAACTGATTCAGAAATATTCTTCCTTCATACATGAAATAGTAAAGCAAAAAACTAACCAAAATCTGTAGCCAATGACCTCTGACTCAAATCAGACTCAAGCAACAAAATTACAAACCACCACTAAACTAACTCAAGTACCAGACGACTCATCATGCATGCTGCCCTGATTTACGAATGTTTCTAAGGAAAGATGATTGAAACAGTGCTTGACAAAAGCATAATGTGCAACATTGATCAAAAGTCGAGCACTAGCTACAGAGGCCAGTTAGTTACTTTTATATGGATTAGTGAAACAAATATTAAAAAAGGAGTCTTATTAATCAAACATCTTTTTTAGCACAAGTGATCGATTGCACAGAGAGGTACTTATCACATCTCAAACTTATTCAGAAGTGCTTTTGTTTTAATAGTGTATATCATCAACCTTAATAAGTGTAAACTTAAAACGTAATGAAATTTTGTTGCTTCATTAATGAAACATGATTGATACCAGTAAGTGACACAAGACGAACCTAGTAACTCCAAGACCAACATTGTGGGGGAAAATGGTGGCATTGTAGACATTGTTGTTCCCATGAATGGCATCAATACCATAAATCATAGGGATCCCAAGACGGGTGGAGAGGGCACCTTCTTGAAACTCGTTGACCACATTCACCCATGTCTCAGCTGAAGCCTTATGGCCTGGCACACTCCCTCCACCGCTCAATACACTTCCTACAACCAAATCATTAATTAAAATTAATCAACAAAAATTCTTACTAAGATAAATTAATTAATAGGATTCTAGTTTTATTTCATACTTCCGCGTCTCTGGCAAAATCAAGGGGGGAAATGAATTATTTCTGTCTTGTAATTAACACGCACAAGAATACTTGGTCTTTGACAATTAGCCTCTGTCAACACTAGTATTTTTATTTTAACATTTTCAAAATTGGTCAATCATAAAAATATCTATTTCATTATACTTAGTTATTTCAAATTTTAGAAGAAAAAAAAAAACAGTATTGTCGTTTATGTCTTCTGTTTTATTTTTACGAATCACTCGTGTAGTGAGTTGGATAAAATCCTATCAACAAATAGAGCATTCAACCTTTTTTTTTTAAGAGAGAAATTTCGTTACGATTACTGAAAATCAGCCAGCTCTGATTAATACAAACCGTCCAATAAAGCATTCAACTTAGTAAAGGCAATTGGAAAAGGAGATTTATAAAATACCGATAAGTAGTGGA